CAAAAGAAAAACTCCCTCATTGGTACGCAATCTCCCACACACATCCCCCAACCCCCAAATATAATCCACTCTGCAACCCTCATTCTATACTCTTACGATAAACATAATGCCCTAAAATATAAAATATTCTCTCCCCCAAAGATTTCAATGCTGTAAACATAATTTCATCCAGTTTTTCTCAGTCTTACCCCCATCCCGATGTCAGCCTCATTCTACAACAGTGGCACCATATGAAGCTGGACTTTATGAAGAGGAATGTGGCATCATGATTTGAGGACCACTCACCCACAGCTTCCATTATGCAAATGACACAATTTTGTTTGATGAAAGTGAGGGACACTTGAAAAGCTTGCTGAAATCAAAGGTTACAACCTTCAATATGAATTACATCTCAACACCAAGAAAAATATTCTCACCCCTGGGCCATTAGGCAACATCATTATAATTGGAGGAAAAAAATTAAATTATCAACAATTTCATCTTACTTGGATCCAGAGTCAACACCCTTAGTGATACTCAAGAAATCAAAAGACCTATTGTATTGGGTAAGCCTGTTGTCTAAGACCTCTCCAAAATACACTGGAGGAGTTTAAAGAGTAGTATGTGCCTGATTTAGGCTTTAGTATTTTCACTTTCTATGCCTCTGAGAGTTGAACAATGAATAAAAATGCTTTTGAGTTATGGTGTTGAAGAAGAGTACTGAATATCCCATGTTCATGTCTTCAAGAAAGTGTAACCAGAGTATTCCTTAAAGTCAAGGATGGCAAAGCTTCAGTTCATACTTTGGGCATGTTGTTAGAAGGGGTTATTCCTTGAAGAGGAACGCATATCATGCTTGTAGAACTAGCCAAGAGAGAAAGATTCTCAAAGAGGTAAGATTCACACAATGACTGCAGCAATGGGCTCAGGTGTGTCAGAGATGATGATGATGATGATGGTACAGGATAGGATAGGGTTCGGATTCGTTGCTCATAAGGTCATGATGAATCTTACTCTACTACGTGATACCTAATAACAACATTTTTCCCATGGCAGATCTCTGGTGGATAGTGTGTCACCCTGCTAAACAAAACATTGATAGTTCAAATCCACCAGCTGCTTGGGGCAAGAAAGATTAGCAGTCTTCTGTAATTAAGCCTCAAATCCAGATGGAGGGACACTGAGTCAACAAGGAAGGACTCTCTGGCAGTAGGCTTGGTTTGGTTTTCAAGTCTTGCAACCACTGGTCAATTGGCACATGGCTTTCCGGACACCAAACATTCTGAAGCATTCTGTAATGACTTGTAATTACTTCAGTCGAACGATTCAGGGCTCATGTGGTTACTTCACTTCCATTCATCAAACTCCATCTGATTCTGTGCCAGCCGGATGTCCGCTCTTTGGTCACACCATCAAAGCTGGCACTAGCATGGTTACCTCTCCCAGTTAAGAGTCCAGCAGGGAGAAACCTGCATATACCGATCTGCAGGGAAACACGGTTGAAGGCGGAGACGGCAGCACATACCACCTGCAGGGAACGAGGGCCCGCGCGCCCGCGGCGACGCCTGGAGGGGAGGCACCTCGGGTCACGGTCCCACGCCCTCGCCGCGGCTCTTCGAAGCCCAGCCCCCGCCAAGAGCTACGGTTGAGGGCGGTTGAGGGCGGAGCGGGGCGCGCTGCGCGCCGGCGCGTGGAGGCCGTAGGCGGAGGAAGGGCGCGCGCGCGCGCTTGTAAAGGAAGGGCGCGCGGACGGGGGCGCGCGGCTGCCGGCGCGGCCTGTGGCGCCGACACCCGGCAGAGTCGAGCTCGCTGAACCCGGCGCTGCCACTTCTGCCGCCGCGGAGCTCCAGGACTCTTGGGGACTGAGGACTGCGCCTGGCGCTGTCCCGCCTTCCTGCTGCAGTCCTCCAGTTAAGCGCGCGGGTCCCGTTATCATGTCGCTGGGGCAGCGCCTGGGTCGGCTGGCGAGCCATCTGCAGGACCCGCAGAAAGTGGCCTGTTTCCAGCAGCTGTGCGGGGTAGAAGCGCTGCCAAACCGTTCCGCCGCAGCCGCTGCCGACCCGAGAGAGGATGACAAAGAGGCGGAGGCGCCGCTAACCGGGGATTCCCGATGGCGAGGGCGACAGCCGGGGGCACCGGGGGGTCCCCAGCCGCCCGGGAGCGAGCTAAATCAGTGCCCAGCCAAGCTGGGCGGCGGCGGCGGCGGCGCCCCCAACGGCGTGCGGAACGGGCTGGCGGCCGAGCTGGGCCCTGCTCAGCCGTGGCGCGCGGGCGCCTTGCGCCGCAACTCGCTGAGCAGCGAGGAGGGCGAGCTGGTGGCCCGGGTGAGCAACTGGCCGCTCTACTACCTATTCAGCTTGGGCACCGAGCTGGGCAACGAACTCTTCTACGTCACTTTCTTCCCCTTCTGGATCTGGAACCTGGACCCCTTGGTGGGACGGAGACTGGTGTGCATCTGGGTGCTGGTCATGTACCTGGGCCAGTGCACTAAGGACATCATCCGCTGGCCTCGGCCTGCCTCGCCGCCGGTGGTCAAGTTGGAGGTCTTCTACAACTCCGAGTACAGCATGCCCTCTACTCATGCCATGTCTGGCACCGCCATCCCCCTCTCCATGGTCCTCCTCACCTATGGCCGCTGGCAGGTAAGCCCCCCTCGCCTCTCCTGGCTCCGTGTCCTGGGGAATGAACAGAATCTCGGAGTTCCCTTCGCTGCCCACAGTTACTCTGATTTGGCTCTTCTCCCAAACTCCCTCCTTCCACATGTTTCCACTGTACACGCCAACAGGCCCTTTCTAGACTTTTAAAAATTAAATAATCAGTGGAAACCTGCAGACTTAGCCATCAAAGTATACTTTAATAGCACTGCCTTTCCTAGAATCCAAAGGAAGCACTTGTAGTTTAGTTAAGTAAGACATTACCTCTGGGCGGCAGTTAAGTTCTGAAATTGTTTTATTGCTCTGATGCACAGGGGAAGTCAGTTTTATCTAGTTAATCGACTCAGCGGGCGGTGGATTTGGTTGTTCGAGCTGCCTTTGTTTTGTTGTAAACATTAGACAACTAAGACAGCTTCACTGTATTAAATGGTGCCTTCCACAGAATTGATTATCAGGCTTAGGAAATGGCTTTAGTTTTACTGTGAGACAGTATTTACAGAACCTTAGTTTATTATTCCAATCAAAATTTATTAGTTCCAGGCAGTCGAGTAACGAATTTTAGAAGAAAGCCGCTCTTTTTGGAGTTCAGTCAGCCGAGTCAATACTCTTGCCCCCTTCTTTCAAGAGTGTGGTTGCTAAATGCTGACAAGAAATTTGTTTATCTTTCCAGATCACTGATCTGTCATCTGTAGCCTTGCTGGATTAACTGTACAAATGAATTAGTTTGATGTTTCATTTAATAAAGGATTTTTGTTCAGACTGGTGTGAAAAATAGGGCATATAACAGCAGAGTCAACCTTACAGGGGTGAGATTTTTATTGGTAAATACTACATATATTTTGTTTACTTTTCATCTCCCATTTTTCAGTTTTGCATGCTCCATAATGTTCCTTTGGCTTTCAAACTAGTTCTTTTTACATACTGGAGCAAAATGGATTCTTGGATAGTTGTCTTGCTTTGTCAGACCTTTAAATATAAGATTTGTTGGTCCTTTCACCAGCAATTAAAGTTCATTCTTACTGAGCATCTTCCTAAGAAGCATTCTTCCTCAATTTGTTTGTTTATTGAAGGAAATCGTCTTCCTCTGAGAAGTACACATTCTCTGTAAGACACCGTTATGTTCAACGTCTTTATGCCTCCTTTGATTTCAGTATTGATAAAATCTTGTCCCCATGGGCACTTCTTTACAGAGCATCCTTCTTAATATAATACAACAAATAAATAATGCATTCAGTAGAAATGGCAGAAATTACTAAGGAAGGGAATTTCAATTACCATGGAAATTGGTTTTTCCAATTTAACCAAAAGAGTGATACTCAAGATTGTGAAAGGAGCGTTGCCTGTTTCTCATGATAGGTAAAAATCAGCACTTTAAGTTATATGTAAATACTTTAAAAGATTAAAGTAATTATCAGTAAGGTATGTTTGCCATAATGCTAATAAAGTGTTTCTATTTTCATGAGTACTCTGGGAATTCTGTCACCCTAGGGCCTTTATAACTCTTCCACTGTGAAGCCATGTTATATGCAGTGAAAGAAACTAGGGTGGTTTTTTTGTTTGTCATTTATTCAAAGCACATACTAAATAGGAAGTACAGCTGGATTGTTTACAGGATGTAGCTGTCAATCTTCCAACATTTTGAATGATCAGAATAAGATTAATGGAGGGAGCCCTGGTGGCCTAGTGGCAAGAAACTGTGCTGCAATCCCAAAGGCTGACTGTTCGAATCCACCAGATTTTCTGCTGGAGAAGGACGAACAATCTCCTGTGCCAGTCAGATCTGATTCAGTGATACACAACAAGAAAAACAAAATAAGTTTAATGGGTTTTTTTGGTGTGTGTAGTTTGTTTTATAACAATCCACATGATCCACATACAATGTATAATCTTAGAATTTGGCTAGCTAGGACTTTAGAAATCATCTTGTTTCAAACTGCCATTTTATACATGTAGGATTAACCTTGTAAAAATTAAATTTCTTATTTTATATTTTTCACTATAAAAAACTTATATATTTGAATGATTATTGACTTTGAGTTAGCAGTTTTCAAAGGAAAACTCGCTTTTATGTGTATTTAGGGGGAAGGTAAGGAGGGGGGTAAAAATACACAACAGTAAATGAATGAAAATATAACTTCTCTGTAAACGTTCATTAAAATAACAATTAAAAGAAAATATTATTAAAACAAAAACTGAACCCAAAGAAAGAAATTTATTTACAGATATTTGGTTATAGTACTCCCAACATTTGAACCAAAAATGAGTTTTTTCCCTTTCCCTTTTTTGAATGGGAACCAAAGGTGGTTTCGTTTGACTCCATTGTTTTGGTTCTCATCTCTGCTAGTGAGTATTCTGCTGTTTTAAAATAGAGGCTTGTATTTCCACAGTGGGATGTGAGAGAGCGAAAAAAAATTTTAGAAACTGGGTGAAGGATTTTAAAAATGAAAGTAGGTGTTTTTCTAGTCAGCTGCAGTTTTTGACAGCTGTGTTGATCTGCATCCTGTTGCTTGCTTTGGCCCTTAGGAAGATGCTCAAACAGCTCCCTTGAAACTTAGTTATCAAACATACCATCCCTAGGACTTTGAGTAACTCCTCCCTACCACTTAATGTTCATGACCCTACTTGAAACTGTAATCAAGTTTCACCTCCTACACATAGCATTATTCTTTAATTAACCCTTCCTGTTTTATTGTTCCCCAGTGTGTCTGAAATGAAAATGCATGAAAAATTATGTTGTTTATAATTTTTGCACCTTACACCTAGACATTCTAACCCAGCAGCTCAGTGAGGAACATTTATAATTTACTGAAAGTTTCCCCAAAGGATTTTCAGGTTAGAAAATGTACTTTCATCATCTGCTTTCAAATAAATGAATTCTTTATTGTTAGAATATATTTTACATATCTTTAAAATTGCTGGAAATATTTTCCAATCTTCATACTTTTTTTTTTTAAATTTTGTAAAGAAACGTCTGGACACAAAAAGGGAGATTGGAGCAGTGTAGTGCTAAGCAGTTATTTGATATTGGGAGAATGTTTAAAAATCTATTTATGATTATATAACATAGAAAATGTTATAGAATTTCTTCAGGAATTAAGTATTTTTGAGACCCATTGGCTAGAACACGAATTATTACTTTTATGTAATTAATTGAATCTGTATTGGAAGAAGTTGCAACTCAGTTGCTCCTTAGAATAAAAAATCATGAGACTTCATCTCACATACTAGGGTCATATTACCAAGAGAGGCTAGACCTTGAAAGATGACATCATGTTTAGAAAGGTGAAAATTGGGAAAGGAAAATCCTTAACGAGATGGATTGACACAGTGACTGCAACAGTAATCTTCTCATGGAAAGTATGAGAATGGCATAGGATGGGGCAAGATTTAAATCGGTTGTACATAGGGTCTTTATGAGTCAGAGGTGACTTGATAAAGCACCTAGGAAGAACAGAATAAGAAAAACATTTTAAAGTAGAGAGTATAAAATATTAAGATTGTAGCTTTTAAAGAGTAATTTCAAATAAAGAAAACACTCATTTTGTACTTCTAGGAATAAAAATATGGCATATAATCTTTTTCATGTAATTTTTTATTTTATAATTAAGACAGTTTTATATTCATTTAATTTTAAAAAATAAGTCTCACTGTATACTTTAGAACTAAACATATTCCCAACTAGTCTGCTCACTTTCACTGCTTTTTATCATAATAATAAATTATCATTAACATTTATTAAGCATCAGACATGCTTCAAAATCTTGTGCATCTGTTGCTTCAGATTGTTTACTCATAACCCAGGATTTGGACCTTTTACTAATACCACTTTACAAACAGAGAATTTAAATTATGATAAATAGCATACTCTAGGTAACACAGAATAAGTTGCTGCCTGCCTCAAAAGTTTAAACAGAAAACACAGTGACTTCCTAAGGATCTTTCTAATAATATTACAAATATAAAAATATTTAGAACACATTTTAAAAATATATATGATTGTGCTCTTAAAATATAACACAGTTTGAGTGTACTTGAGAAATTATATAAGAGCTTTGGAAAAGGAGAGCGCATAGGTTATTTTCTTAAAATGGAGTGTGTGTAATAAAGACCTTGGTGAGACCATCAAAGATAAAAAGAGCAAAGATGAAAAATAAGGGCAAAATTAGATTTAAAAAAATTTGTTTGTTTGTGTTGTTATGTGCCATTAAATTGCCTGTAACTCAAAGCTATCCTATGTACAGTAGCTCTGAAATCTGCCTTAGTCTGAGCCAGTCTCACTAACTGACACACCTATCCCCGTTAACCCCAGTTACTATGTCAGTCCATCACATCTGGGGTCTTCCTCTGCTACACTGTCTCTTCCAAAGCATAATGTCTTTCTCCACAGACTGGTCCCTCTTGGCCACATACTCAAAGTATGTGAGACAGAGCTTCAAAATCCTTACTTCTACAGGGCAGCTTTGGGTTCACCTCTCCAGTACAAACTTGTTTGTTCTCTTGGCAGTCCATGATATGTTCAATACTCTTCTCCACCACAACTACTCAAAGGCATCGATTCTTCCTCTGTCATCTTTAGTCATTGTTCAGCCCTCTTATACATAGCAAGTATTTGTGAATGATTTGGATCAAGTGCATCTTAGTCCCTAGAATGACATTGTTACCCCTCAGAACTCTGGAGAGGTCCCTGATAGCAGACTTACCCAGTGCACTTGTCTTTTGATTTCCTGACTTATACAAGACTGTTGATTGTGTAGATGAGCAAGATGAAATTGTTAACAAATTTTATTTCTTCTTTTCCATCAGTCATGGTACTGCCAGTTGGCCTGGTGGTGAGAATCTTTGATTGGTGGTTGTTGGGCGTTTTTTTTTAAAGTTTTTTTTTTTTTACCCTAACTTTATAGTTGTATTTAAATTTTTGTATTTTTGAAAATGCTCATGATTAACTTAAATTTTTAAATTATTTATTTGAATCATTAATTCGTATACAT